TGTAGGTACCCAGCCTGCACAATACGCTTCACGTACCTACGCTATATATATATATATATATATATATATATATATATATATATATATGCATATATATATATTCGTGTGTGTCAGTGATCTATAGTCTAAATACTTCTTTGGAAAAAGTTAAAAGCATTCCGCCATTTCCTTTGGCATTCTAATATATGGCTGAAGAACACCCTGTGCTGTGTAAAAAGTTCACATAGAAATATCCACGCTTCGTAAATGCAACTTATAATGTAAAGTATTTATACGAAGCACTCTCTATAGAAGCAAATTGATTTAATGCAAAATGAATCACTATGTTCGACGGTTATATTACTTTAATGGAAATTAATTATGAAAGGATAGTTGCTTGGTAATGAAGAAAGGTTATTTTATATATAAGTTTATACTTTGATATTAAAAAAGGCTGCAAATCATAATACTGTTTTTGACTTGGAACAATATAAAAAAACATCGTATTACTAATAACTACAATTAATAAAATTATATTATTAATATATATTTAAAATTCTAATTATTCTGAGAAATAAAATTTATCGTATAAAAAGAAAATCAAGAAAGGCATCTATATGGCATCTATACTATATAAATAGTTCAAATAGAAATATACAAGTATGTACAAGGCGTCTCCACCGTATTTTTTGAATACTTTCATAATGAATCATCAAAGCAAAATTTTCAAATGAAAATAATTCTTGCCCGCTTTGCTCCATCAATAAAATATTTATCAGTATTACAGAAATTGTAATAATAAATTCATCACATAGAGATAGGACAACTGTTTGGGTTTCCATCTATAAAACCGGCGTTAGTTAAGTCAAATAATCACAACAGCTGTTAAGAGTCTCAAGTTCTGATTGTAATTCGAATAATATAGAAACAATTTCTATAATCATTAAATACTTTACTCACAGCATTAGGTTAAAAATTGAAATATAAATAAATAAATTTTCACGTATAACGGACTAATATGTCACAGTTTTTTCATATGCAATATTAACTCATCCTATACAAGAACTGTGACTACGTGTGCGAATCTTGTATATTTAAAAAAATCAGCGAAATCTAGTAGTTTTTTGGTAAAACAAATAAGTAATTTTTACAAACGTTGAAAGCAAGTTTGAGTATGTTGTTTTACGTCATCAGCGATTATATGCTATCTGCGCTCAATTACTAAAAACTGTTACTTAACAAATCAAAAACAAATTATAAATTGTGTAGTTTGCAATTGTCTACATTAGTACCATTATTCACATACAACTTCGATGTTAAATTAATAGGAACTTTACAGAGTGATCACTTTACCATATTTAAAAAATGCATAATTTGATACGTAAAGTTTACAAAAAAAGACTTGCAAAAAGCAATGAGAAGATAGTTTGTTAAACTACTCAAATAAAAAAAAATGTTGTAAATATATTTAGAACCTAAAATTTCCTATAAATAATTTACCATCAATTGTATAACTATTTCAATTTCATCGTTTAAGCTGAGTTAAGCTCCGCCGAGTCAAGAGCGATTAAACATTTATTATTTCATGCTATGGTGGGCTGGTGGATATCCAGAAAAGTGTGAAAATAATTCAACGAGCTATAGTCGTTCGATGATGTACCAACATCATCAAATTTCAAACGGACTAATCAAAATGTTCGGGTCGCCTTTGTATGTGCATATTAATTGCCTATTTGTATTTTGGACGCTGCCGGTGTTACTGTGCGACTATTATGGTGCACGTAACTGTGTCAACTTACACAGGGCGGGGGGCTCTGTGTTTGTGCACAGACATCCATTTGCGAAATATCATTAATTTATTGCCGCTGGTACATCAAAGAAATTATATTGAAGCATCATGCCTTTAAGTAAATTGCTGAAAGACGATATTCAATTATTATAAAAAAAAATCTACTTCGAAAATAAGTTGCAAAGCAATTGGTTCTATCAATTAGACAAAGATTCACAATTCTATAAACATTCTATTCACAAATATGAGTTAAGATTTCATTATTTAAAATTATCACAAAATATACTGATAAAATTTGGTTATCAGAATGATTATTAGGATGATTCTCACAATGAGAATAATTTTATACAGTAAGTCAAAGAATTAGTAATCTGTATATTATTTATTTATTTATTTATTTATTTAAATATATAGCCCACAGATTTCTCCAAGAGGACTCAAAAATACAATTATTTGACATAATGAATAACAATTAAAATATATACAAAATTACAATATATAGTTAGTAACATAAAATGCTAAGATAAAATTTCATATAATGCAGAATGTAACAATAATATTTATAAACAGAAAATAATGAGATATTTGAAAGAAAATAAAAAGATTAACTTGTGCAGATGAAGATTATTTGATTAGGTGAAGTGTTGTGAATGTCTATTTCATTATTAATTAAGTTAAAGTTAGAGGACATTAGTAAAATTGGCGAATTTAAGAGAGAATTAGATTTAGGGGTAGGATAATTGAAAAATAATTGTGAACGCGAAGATAGCCTTGGAACATTAAAGGATAGTTGATTGAGAATAAGAGGACAGTCTATAGAATTATTGCAAAGCTTAAATAAGAACATAATTGTACAGATAAATCGACGTGAGGCAAGGGAAGGAATACCAAATTCTTTTAGTAAAGTGTTGTGGTCAAAGCCACGTTCAGGGTAAATTTTATATGTTTTATAATAAAGGTATTTCAGAAATTTTCGCTGAACTTTCTCTATCGCATCAGAGTTGTTGATATGATGAGGATACCAAATAATCGAACCGTATTCTAATTTTGAACGTACAATAGAATAGTACATGCAAAGAAGTGCATTGGCAGACTTAAATTGTTTACAATTTCTTAGTATCAAACCTAAAGATTGATGTGCTCTATTGCAAATATCAGTAACATGATCTGTGAAAAACAAACCAGAATCAAATAGAACACCTAAATCGGAAATTTTATTACATCTATCAATGCTGGTGTTAGAAATTTTATAATCAAAAAGTATTGGAACGCGCTTATGTGTAAAACTAAGAATCTTGCACTTTGATATATTTAGATGTAATTTGTTATAGATACACCAAGATTGGAAAAGGTCAAGTTGAGACTGTAATAATAAGCAGTCATCAATAGAATTTATTTTGAGATATAGTTTCAGATCATCTGCAAATAATAAATGTGGACAGTTAATAGTATCAGAAATGTCATTAATAAAAATAATAAATAATAGTGGACCAAGAATGGATCCCTGAGGAACTCCTGAGCTAATATTTTCAATGTTGCTCAAGAATCCATTAAGAAAGACAAACTGCTTGCGATTATGAAGATAACTCTTGAAAAAGTGAATAAGTGAAGAATTAAGACCAATCTTAGATAATTTAGTAAGAAGAATGTTATGATCAATTTTGTCAAAAGCTTTACTGAAATCAGTGTAAATAACGTCAACTTGTCCATTGATGTCAAGATTCTCAGCTATATATTGTTTAATACAAATTAAATTTGTTATAGTAGAACGGGCAGGCATGAAAAATACTTAAATTATATCAAGAATAGAATTTTCTTCTAAATTTCTAATGCTCGTATCATAAAGTAATAATTGTTCTAAATATAATTTAAAAACTAAACAGTATTCGAACATGTGGATGTGATTGTAAATAATTATTAATATTGTGAATATTGCAAAAACCAGAAATATTCAAGATAACGTAAAAATTTGCAATGTATATATGTCAAATATAATTATAGAGCATTATCACTTAGCAAATCATAAATTCATATAAAACCTGTACATGAACCGTAATAAGACATTAACATAATAGTAACCTCAATTATATATTTTACTTTAATTTATATATAAAATGTAAAAGTATTTTAAGTCATTCCTATAACTCTGTATTATTCGTAATGTACGCAAATGAACCTCGATATATTTTAGAAATACACGAATACAAAGAGATCACTTGCACTAAGTTCAAACTTTTTGCATATCATTTTCTTCGTCTTGAGAGTTTTAAGCGAACAAACTTTATTTTCCAGTTCAGATAATTTATATTTTAAACATGGGTGTTAAAAAAGCTGAAATAATAGCGTATACTTAAATTTTAATTAAACTATGCGCCACAAGTTTAATATACATACGATAAGAAACCAACTCTTTAAAAGCACCTAATAATATAAAGGAAATTATTAATGACATACGTAAGAAATGTCAGAAAGCATACCCGTTCACAAATAACAATGTGCACGAAAATATTTTTATATATTTCTTTCTATAGATTCTCTAGAAAATATCAAGAACAATTATAAAATAAATATTAAATATAATTCAAGAATAGAATATATACTTACATCAAATAATGTAATAAATAATTAAATTGTAATAATCAAATATACCTTATTATCATAAGATACATGGCAAATTATCATAAGATCAATGGTAATATATTAATTATGAAATATTAAAAGCCTATGCGTATAATATCAGAATGACATGTAATGTTTTATTATAAATGCACTCTAGAGCACATATAAAGTATTTATTGCATATTGCGCCATAAACGAACATTATCTGTTAGCAACGATATTTTTATTCTTGAAACCTCCGACGAAGATGATGCTTACAAAGATATAATATTACATATCATGGTATCAAAAGTCAATAAATATGTTTGTATACATTACGGTTTAGAAGTGTTAGCAGTAATAAGGCTATTTACACATTCATATATATATATATATATATATATATATATATATATATATATATATATATATGTATGTATAATGTTAGAAAACAAATATGTCTGAAAGATTCAGATATTTCAAATCGGGTAAGGATCGTCTAGTATGCAACCCTTTGTAAAGTTGGATGCAGAGGCATATTTCGATATGGATGTAAAGATATATATGTTGCCTGATATAAATTAAATTTATAATATGATAGGTGTAATAAAATGCAGTAAAGTTGATGACTTACCTCGCCAACTGGCTTTTATTGGGCACGTGATGGTAGCGTTCGTGATCAAATATGCATTGAGCGTTGTGAGCGATGGGGACTTCCGCAATGTGTCTTCGTCATTTTTCCACACGTACGTTATGGCAGATTGCTCGTATGATACTGCAATCATAGTAAAAATATGCAGCTTTAGATATTTTTAGCTAGAATTGAAATTCGATTTGTTTCACACAAAACACGCACGCCCATTAACTACTAACATGCGGTAATTAATACAATTAAAAAATAATGGTAACATGAGTAATATTAATCATATTGTTTAACATTTTGTTGATTAATTTTTCAGTGGAGCGCGCCGTTATGCAGATTGCTAAAAATATTTATTACCTTACCTTTAATTATAAGGCTAAGGCAGTTCTTGTACACCACATAAAATACTAAAATAACAATAATTTGGTGCGAATTGTATAAACAAATGCAAATTGAGTACTTCAATCTAAAAATCACTAATCATAAAATGTTTCAGAGTAAACTATCTATAAGCATTTGATTTGGATTTGAATCCAAACAGTAAAACAAAATTTACTATGTCACAAGACATTAGCATTGATAATAAAATATTCATTTAAACCTTCACTTCTATTTCATTCTATTATACTTGTATTATGTTATAATATATAGGATAGGGCGAAGCAAAGACCCAATTTGACTTTAAGCAACTATATTGCCAAAGCCAACAAATAGCGCATATCAAACAAGCAACTATCTGGCAATGTTCAGTAAAAATTCCAGCTAATACATCACCGTATAAATGTGTTTTTAGTTGTTTTTCAAAAGTTTGTCACATGGTTCTTTTTATGCCAAAGGCAAGGTAAAACTAGACAGCCCGGAGCAAAACAGATCCAATGTCTTATTTTTACTTTTAAACGAATTTTACTAAATTATAGCTGCATTATTCAACCAATGCCGAATATAAATTTGCATAAAGTGTCAATAAAGTGAGTGCATTTTCTACTGAGATTACACTGTATATAATTGATCTGGTATTTCGTCAGAAATATTCATCAACAGAGTTGAAACAACTATTTATTTCATTAACTTTTGTTTAATTGCTTTTTTTTAACTTTTATATTATTTTATTTAACATTTTTTATTGTTCAAACTCTTGCCGGATATAGGTTTAGTTGGTCCTTGTTACCTTACCCACATATAAACTTTTATATTTATATGAAAATATACTGTTGAATCTAACTGAACAATAACAATTGATCTTATAAAAGAATTAAATAACATTTACTTAAAACTTATATTAAGGTTTCTTAAACCAAAACCACAGTGCAAACAAAGTCATTATTAAGACCATAATTATATTAAGATCTCTTAAAACAAAACCACAGGGCAAACAAAGTCAGAATAACTAACAACAAAAGCAAATACTTTTGTTATAGATTTCCAAACATTGCCGTTTATATCTCAATAGCAACGTTATAAGAATCTAGGTGATATCTGGTCATACATATTTTTCACTCTACTTTTAAATATTGTTGTTAAAAAATTCCTTGGTGGACCTTTTTACTGCAGATCTTTAAGCCCCACTCTACCCCCGCTATTGCATATAATGATAATATAACAACGTGATTAAAATTGCTTATGCGTATTTTAGCTTCTTGGAATCATAATTTTTGAATTTATAGATTAAACTTACACATTTTTTAAGACCAACAAGTTCTCCTTAATTTTGTAAACATTTAAAATATGAATGTTGTTATTCTATTTTTGATTGAAAATTAGAATGTATGCAATTGGATTTCATGTATATGTTATCTGTAACAAAAATTTATTGTTCATGCCTTTTAGTAAAGCTGAGTAGTTAATTACACTTAATAAATTCAAAATACTATTTGAAATACTTTGAAGATTAATGTACCATTTTTAGTCGTACCACAAAAATGTTGAAAGTTGCAAATAGAAATAAAATAACCACGGGGTAATTATTTGAAACTTCTAATATTTTGTCCAGAACTATGAATATAGCGCTTTAGTTAATTAAAAATTATAATAATCAATCATTGAAATCATTAATTACACACATATTTTATTGCTCTTTGCACTTTGAACGATGTTTCAAATGAATATTGGAATATGAAATTCTAATAAATATCATTTTATGTTCTTGTTTAAAATTCGCGCATATGCATATGTGTACATCGATATATAGATATTGCAACATACGTATGTATATCACATTAATATTAAATGTACATAAATATTCCAATTTTATAACTGAAGTCAGCCAATATTTTTTCACGATATGTTTTCCCACGAGGCACTCATGTATTCTATTTATCAAAGATTCGCTGCGTATTTCGTTTCCGTTGCCTGAAGCTTCTTATTGTTCAATAGAGTTCATATTACATATATAAGCTTAGAAGTACGCCCCTATGCGAAAGGACCAGATAACAATAAACATTTCTGATTGAAATCCCGTAACAAAGAATAAAATTAGTGAATTTTTTTTTTTTTTTGAAAAAATAGGTGGTTTTAAGCTCAGACAATTTTAATAATAAATATGTAAAGTAAAGGTCCGCGAGTAAAAAGATTCAACACCAATATCTCAAAAGCAAGTGAAGTATATAATTTTTAAACGATACTATTTTAACGTCAATATCAATATTTATCTACTTTTCTGGGTTTGAGTTCTTTTGTTTAGTTTATGATATCTGAATATAATTTTTAAGTGCTCGTTATTCAATTGTTTTATAATATGTATTATTATTTTTAAGTTAGATTCAATAATTTTTTAAAATACCTTTTCTCAAAGCTCACATGCGGGTGGGACAAAAAGGACCAACTGAAGCTTCACCCCCGTAAAGATGTAAACAATCAGAAAATTTAAATAAAAAAGTAGACTAAGCTAAAAAAACGCATTTTACGAGAGATAAATTAAATTATTAGTTATTCTAACTCTGCTGATGAATATTTCTGAGATCAAGGTTATGTACAGTAGATGAGAATGGGTATGGTTGTGCCACTTTTTTTTATCAGCAATGATTTTGATGATTTATCAGTTTGCTAAAAAAAAGTAAATTGGATGATGATGTGAACATTTGTCTATATGTAAATGCTGAAATACTGTCAAATACGATGAATTTGTCATAAAATCAAATCATACTAGAAAAGGACGAATGTCACAACCGTCCACACCGCCAGGCACGGTTGTGACAGACGTAAAATAAGGTAAAAACAACATGTATGATTATGAATACTAAAATAACTTTTATTGTCATAAACGACTTTTATTGTCAGAAATATGTAACGCAAAACAACCTAATCGTTAAAACAAAGCTTATGAATATAATATAAAAATAGATAACAAAACATGATTTTTTTTTTCAAAAAAAGTTAATAGCAATTGCTTGTAAAACCTTTTTTTATATTGAATGCTCCTTTCCCTTACTACTTTTGCTGTTTACATAAAAATAATAAACAAAGTATACAATCTATCTGTATACATAGTCAAATAGTTGCTTGTTGAATATGTTCGAGCCCAAAAAAGTTGTAACAAAATTTGTTCTTATTATTAAAAGATTTGATGTGCAAATGTTTAATAATCATTTTAGAGCACCAAATATCATTTTTTACATTTTCATCCGTATCTCCAAAACCGCTAGACCTGCTTAACCAAAAATTCAATCAATTCTTTCGACATTTGGTCAATACAAGTAAAATGTTTATTGAATCTTTCAAAGCGGGCGCTCCTTTCTCTCAAAAACTGAGTTACCGTTTTTAACACTTTCTGCTCCATCTTCGGCTTGACCTGTCTTCGCCAAAAACTAACCAGCACATCTTTTCATCAATCAAGAAATGGAATGTTTTCTGAATAATTCAAATCGGTTGCTCCGTGCGCCCGAAATCGTGGACAAAAAATTATAATCAAACATAAACACATACACACACATGCATCGATTTTTTCTAAGGTATGCCAAAATGTTCAGAAACCACTGAAACGTGAAGATATGCAAATTTTTTTATTTTCGATTATTATAACTTACCCTACGCGAAGTTAATAAACGATTAGAAATTTATAACTTCATTTAATAAATATTTGCATTCGGCGACATTAGCCCTGTGTCTATTTGTTTTGAGCTATTAGTACGTGCATGATATTTCAAGTACAAGAGTAGAAATTGCACGCAAACGGCCTTATTACAATATGCATGGTGTGAAACCACTCGTATTCTGTCGGATCATAAACGTTCTAATAACACGCACCATTGTTCGTATACGACAAGACCAGTAGCATTAAATTCATGATGATCGCTTTAGTATTAAGCCATTCAGCTATTTATGCTCAGACCATAAACCATTGATGAAAGAAATTGCAAATATTGTCATATTTTCTCTGAATATCTTTTCTAGATTATAATTAATGAAATATTATTTCATTGTCCTATAAAAAACAATTCTCGAAATATTTCGAATTCAATTTACACAAATTTCAAAGATATTCCTTACATCATTGGGGAAGAGTACGCATGAAATTCTGCAAATGGTTAATTTATAATGCTGCTGTGCGGAAGTATATAAGGAATACTACTCGATTATTCAAAGATGATATGAAAACAAAATATAATTTCTTCTATACAAGCACACATTTGTATATTTCTCATTAGGCGCTCTATTTCATCGGATTATCTTATATATAAAAATGGAACGCAAAATGTGTTGGTAAGCGCATAACTCAACAACGCCTGGACCGATTTGGCCAATTTTTTTTTAAAATGTTTGTTGAAGTCCAAGGATGGTTCTTACTGCGAGAAAAAATCGAATAATTTTCGGGAAAACCCTAAAAACGGCTCTTTTCTTTTTCTCATACATACGTTTACAATATATGTGGGAATGGGAATCAAGTAGGCAACGGAATTTGTAGAAAAAACAATTATTCATGCCATGACATTTTGTGTAGTTTTTGAAAACCTAATTTTTAATATATTTTTATAAACATAGAAATATTTTTCTATTAATTTATGAGCTATATTGGCAGCCAAAACATTGATGTAAATGAATTAAATTTCAAAATTCAAGAACGAATTGCAGGCGAATCGAGGATATATGAAGCAGTTGATTCAGCAACTAACCTAAGACGATGTAGTTAACTATTC